ACTTCCAGAGTGAGCAGGCAAGCACCCGCAACACACCATCCTCCGATAAAACACACGGAGGAAACTAATAACATCCAGCCTGCCAACATTCATTAGGCATGAGGACTGCTGGCTTACTGTGCAAATAAATATGGAGGGCTCCAAGTCTATTATCAAAACGAAGCAGAACAAGAATTAGATATAATACTGGAATTTGGATCATGCTGAAGCCAAGAAGCAGCAACTGACTGCGCCAAAACCAGATCATAGGGAGAATTTGGGGTTTATGTTATGAGGGCCATTGTTTTTAGGAAATAATCCCAAACAGAGGAAGCTGAAATTACTATTTTTCAAAGAATTGAGTTTCAATTTTAAGGAAGTATTCTAGATGTATATTAGGCTTCATTAAGTGTGTGGGCTCAGTACCTCTCAAAGAGAAAATCAGTGTGCGTTATTCTGCTCAGATTATCTGCAAGTCTACGATTTGTAAGAGGAGTGGCCAAGAAAGGATACACAAGAATTCCTGAGAGAAACATGCTCCTCCCAAGGCTCAGTTCCCAGCTACTCTCGATCATGTGTGAGTATATTACCCGGTGGTAAACACTCCCTTTTAACTGAAAAGCTCTCTACTGAACTTGCAATTACCGCCTGACCTGCTCTGGAATTAGAAATGCTTCTCCATAAAACACAACTCTCATCCTACATGAAAGAGCCTGATAAGAGACTTCATGGGAAGCAATTCTTACACAGAGGAAGTAACTCTAAATTACCAATTTTCCATTACTCGAGTAGTGCCAGAAAGAGAAAAGTTCAGCATTCTTGGTAGCAATGCAAAGCTGCCGAAGCCCTCTATTGAAAGCTCACTTGATTTCCAAGACAGCAATCTGTCTTGGTTGCTCAATTATATTTCTACAAATTAAATTAACTTGTAAGCGTTGAATTTCCACTTTTCTTTTTACCAGATCGTTTTGTTATTGTAGGTCAAAAGTAATCCTGTCAAGCAAAAGTATTTTTTTGCCCACCTGTAAAAACAGAGGGGATATGGATACATGGAAATAAATCCCTGTAGAAACAGGGCATCACACTGGTTGCAGATCTGTGGCAAGGGCAAAGGGTGAAACTTCATAGAAAAATTTAAATAGTTCTGTCAGAGGGACATCGTGTGGTTTAAAGGAACAACAACAGAGCAACAACTACAACAAAGACCATATTCTTAGTCTGTTTTACATCCTATTGATATCTAAGGCTACTAAAACTGAAAAGTAAATAGTTTTTCCTCTATTATGGCATATTTTATTTGACAGCACTTTCAATTACAAAGTAAATTAATTTTCCCAGTGTTAATCATGGCTTTTCACATGGCAATTAGGGGAAATAACCGGTTTGTAAAGACAGGAAGTTAGCATGCAAAACCACAAATACCAAAGGAATAATATTTTTGCCTTTCAAATAATTTCCTTGATGTGTGAGGTTTTTCAGGGAAGACTGTCCACTAACTGAACAAAAAACAAAAGAAAAGTGGTTTCCAGACGAGCATTGTGATATTTTAATGCCTTATTCTTGCCAGCAATATTATCAACCTCACTGGGACTATCGGTATCATTAAATCCACTCACAGGAGTAGGAATTTGCAGTTTTAGGATTTAAACTACAGACTAGTATAGTGGCCAGATGTTAATACTATTGTATTTGACAGATGCGGTACAGTAGGGTCACAGGATAAGCAGGTTGGAAGCAACCTCAGGAGGTCTCTAGTCCAACCTCCGGCTCAGGGAGGGTCAGCTGTGGGGTGAGACCAGGTTGCACAGGACTTGATCCAAGCAGGCTTGAAAAATTCCAGGGACTGAGAATGCACCTTGTCTCTGGGCAATCTGCTCCACTGCTTGACTGTCCACCCAGTGAAGGGATTTCTCCTTATATCCAGCCTCAGTCTCCCCTGTTTCAACCTGTATCCATTGTCTCTTGTCCTCCCACCTTGCACCGCTGTGACGAGCCTCGCTTCATCTTACCAACAACCTCCCTGTAGGTACTGGGGGCTGCTGCTATGTCCCCCCCCCAAACCCACTTCTCCTCCAAGCTGAGCAAGTGCCATTCTCTCAGCACTTCAGTATGAGACCTCAACAGACTGGATGTAATGCCTACCTCGCTAAGTAACACATTTTGTAATCTTCATACGAAGGTGAATGCAAATATTAATGTAGCGTTTCTCTATAACTCAGCGGTTTCCTCATATCTAGAATTAAATACTAAAGGGGTGTGTCTATTTCTTAGTCTGACACTGCACAAGCTATAAACTTCAAGTACCATGTTCTTGAAAGCTGTGGTAGTAATTATCTCTCTCAGAAAGAGTAAAATTATAGAAATTTTCATTCATTTATACTAATAAGGTGCTTTTGAGATCCTCAGACTCAAGGTGGCACTTAATCAATAAACAGTATTTGGTTCTGCATATTAAATACTCATTAATAATTGTTCTGACTATTATTATTTATGAATGCCTTCCGGGTGCCCAGAGCGTATCTTGTTATCAAGCTGAATACTTTTGACTTGAAATCAATGTGTTTCATTTTTGATTATTTAAATAGAAATCTTCACATCTTCAGGGACTGCTTGACACCCTTATACCACACAGAGGCTACTGTAAAGGAAGCAAGAAAGTATAATCCTACACCAGGAGAAATCTAACAAACCTAATCTTCAGGCCATTAATTACGTACCACAATCCAGCTCCCATATAAATACTTGGCTGTGTGATTAACCAAGGAAAAGGCAGTCACAATCAAGTTTGTATTGCTTTCAATTAATTTTGTGACATATTAATCCCAGTTCAAGTGAAAAATATCAGAGGTTGAATGTGCATGTAG